CGGAGAAGTGCAAAGTTTGGAGAAGTTATTGGGTGTGAGGGGGAAGTACAAGCGGAGGTTCGGTATATGCTAGCGTCAAACAGATTGAATCAGTCTCTAACCTGTGGATGGCCAGAGCTGAAGAGAGCAGACCAACAGGAGAGTCAGGAATCAGACAGAAATTTAATTTCAAAGTGAGGGTAAAGTGTTGCAAGGAAGGAGGCTGATTAGACACGTGTACTGGGGTGCTGGCTGAACCTTGATTGATATACTTGTGGTCAGACAAAGAGTCAAACAGCATAATGTAGCAACAGTAGTGAGTCAAGACTACAACAGCAAGGCCCAGCAGCAACAGTGAGGCAAGGTTGTCTAGTGACAAAAAGTCTGTTCACAGCAGGGCTTCATGTCTGGACTCTTGGTGCTTGCCCAAGGTGAGGGACCATCAGTCCCAGAAGGTGAGTGCAAAGGGTTGTTGTGCCGAGCTTAGGGTACAACTTGCTTGCTGAGACTTAGATTCTGGAAAACAGGGTATCTCCTAATATCTTGATATTTCCCCTCTTTGGCCAAAGGGAGGGGGTCTGAAAGAACCCCTACCCTTCTGGCCACTAAAGGAGAGGCAGGTACAAGCCAAGATGCTATGAGAAGTCAGTTGGTCCAGGACAAGATGTTGCCCAGGGGATTAGTTCCTTGAGGGGACCTGTCTGGCAAGTGTGTCCCAGGTATCGTTGCTAGCCATGTTTAGCTTGCAATGAGAAAAGGGGGGGGCAAGAATGTGGAGAGAGAAAAAGCCAACACAGCCTTGAAGCAGGGCCTTGCTGGTTGGGCACTTAATAAAAGGGAAGAGGAAAAAACCTAGGACAGTATGCTCAGCCATTTTCAAGAATCTTGGGACAGATGTCTCATCTGGATGTTTGTTGCTTCTGGGTCTATACTAGATGAACCTTGAGGTGCCCAGAAGGTTCTGCCATCCAGTCAGGGGTAGGGAATTCTTCAGATGATCCAGAAGTACACACCCACAAATTTGACAGCTGTGGGAATAGTCAGAAGCACTTGGTAGGGCCCTTAGAAGACATATGGACTGACAATTATGAGAAAACTCCTTTTGTCCATCTGTGGATCTGAGTTTCTGGTTAACACGACCTAGGTCCTTGGTTAAGGATCTCTAAACAACACACAGAGATGGTCCACTTTCCCAGCCATGCAGGGTGAGGCTCAAACAATGCAATCAAGTTTTCTCACAACTCCTATAATTGCATAATTACATCGTCAGGTACAGATCAAACTCCTTAGAGGGCTCACAATGGAGTAGTTCTGAGAAGGGAGATTTTACCAATACCCTAGTAACCTGTTCTTAATGTCCATTTAACCAGCACATTTTGAGTCCCAGATGTCTCATGTAGTTATCTGGTCACTAGATATCTTTTCTTGGACAATTTGGTTATTCTCAGGATAGCTCTCAAAAGGGCTCTCCTTCTCTGGTTCCAAATTTAGAGGTTCCTAGATAATTCTGACATAATATAGTTTAGTACAATCACTTAAATTTGGCCCTCCAATTTTGAAACTTCAGAGAAATTCATTTTATATTCCATTTGCTATTTCTATCCTTACCTAGATGCTGTATCTAATATAAGAATCTTTTAAAAATTTATGAGGGTCCTATGATAAAATGAGCTCTTCTGTGTTTTAAAATCATCAGACAGATATTTTAATAATGGAAAAAAATAATTTTGCTTTCTTTACCATTATCCATACAATTTATGTATAAATTAATCCGATTTTGAGAATTTATTACTAAAATATACTTAAAGCATGAATTTCTACCATAGATAATCTTGGAAGCTACTCACATAATCCTTTTCCTTTCTCAAAATTTCCTATTCCATTGATTTAGACAACTTTTAAATTATATCTTTTTGTTATTACTTTATCTAATCATTTCCCCTTAGGAGGATGTCATCCCTGTATTTGACCACAAATATAGGTTGAAATTGTATGTTCATACTTGTATCCTCAGAGATGTTCCAGTATCAATCTATTAATAGATTTAGTATTGTATTCACAAAATTTCCTGATTATAGAAATTTGCCAAAAAAGGAAAAAGAACAACATAGTTATCACATCATGTATAACAGAGGGGAAAACTCCCTTACATCCGTTTGATTCCAGGGATGAGAACTATTTGGCAGCCAGTCATGTAGTCACAAGATGTTAAATGGAAGACTCAGGATTAGCCAGGTGGGACTTCTCCTTTTGATCAAGGACATAGCATAATGGGGTAACAGAGTCAGGCTGTGACCACTCCCCTGTTGGTGGTCCCACTTTAGTGTAGCTGAGCCTTAACTGGAATTCTTTTGGCTAGCCAATTAGTCAAACAGTATAGTGTAACGACAGTAGTTAGGCACAACAGCAACAATGAAGCAAGGTTGTCTAGTGATAAAAAGTCTTGTTTATTGCTTGCTGGAGCTCAGGGAGCATCACTTCTATAAGATGAGTACAAAGGATTGTTGTTAGGCCAAGCTCAGGGCACAGCTTGCTTGCTTGCTTGCTTGCTGGGCCTTAGCTCTGGAAAACAGGGTGTCTCCTAATATGTTGACACTATTTTAAAAAATGTGTAGAACCTGGGATTTGGAGCAGTGAAGTTAATAGAGATGGATCGAAACGTTGCACTTGGATCTTCAAGACCTGAGTTCAGATTCTACCTCTGACACTAGCTATGTGACCCAGACCAAGTCATTTAACCTCTGCCTGCCTCAGTTTCCTCATCTGTAAATGAGGATGATGATAGCACCTATGTCACAAGACTATTAGGAGGATCAAATGAGATAATAATTGTGAAGCGTTTTGCACTATGCAAATGTTAGCAATTTATTTTTCAGTAGTGATGATGAGAAAAGAGAAAGAGAATAAGAAAAAATGCATGGCTGGAATGGGAAAAGGGTAAAATAGAACCCTAATTTTATAAGTAAAACAATTACAATGAGCTCTCTGGGACACCCAAACCATCTTACTGGAATGCAATTTGTCAAGGTCTTCATATTCATAACTTGTTGATCCAACAGCATTGGATTGGTTTTAGCCTTATGGCAGCTCAGAACCCACAAACTCAAGCAATCCCCAATCCTCAGGTTCCCATTGATTGGGGTTACAGGTATATGACAGCAAGCTTGACTGTGTAGTACATGCATGCAAAGGTTTGAAATGCCTTAGCATCTGTCTGCCCCCAGAGCTTGCAGTTCTTAGAGACAAGAACAGCTAAGTTGAAGACTTACTCAGACACTTGCTGTGTGACCCTGGACAAGTCTGGTTCCCTGAAGTTGCTCTCTTAAGTCTTGCATCTGTAACTTGAGCCATTCAATGCCAAACCCAGATAACTTGGGTGGCCACATGGGAAGGTGGAAAAAGCCTTGGATTTGGAGTCAGAAAACTTTGATTTGTATCCTGGCTTTGCTACTTACTATTGGTGTAACCTCTGGCAAATCACTTAACTACTCTGGGCCTCATTTTCCTCAATTTCCTCATTTCCTGTTAAATAAGAGCATTGTGCTAGATGATCACCAAGGATATCTTGTCATTATAATATCATTTCCTATAGATGAGAAGATTGTGATCATCCTGCTATAGTTACTCTTTTGAACATGGTATTAGCTTAAAAAGGATTGTCCTCCCAATAATCATGTAAAGGATGTAGAATATTATCTCTTATTTACAGATGAGAAAACTTAGAATCAGAGAGATGGTATCTTGACTAGGACCAGATAGTTATTAAGTCATGAAACCAGAGCTTTGACTTTCCTAATGTGTTTTTAGCAATGTGAATCTCTGGGACAAAGAGTATAGATATCCTAGTCACCTTTTTTTTTTTTTGAACCATGTTTTGGAATCGTTGGATCAATTCACAGTTCCATCAAACAGTGGTAAGTGTGCTTGTCTTTAGGGAGCCCTTTCATCATTGACTGTTTCCTTCATTTGTCATCTTGGCCCATTTGTTGGATGTGATATGTAACATTAGCCATTTTGATTCATGTTTCTCTTATTAGTGATTTGGAAAAATCATGCCTATATTAGTAATTTGCAATTTGTCTTTGGAGAATTGTTTGTTTATATCTATTCAACAATTTCTCCACTTAAATGATGAAACTTTTAGACAATTTTTCCTGAAATCTTTCAGCTGATAATATCTTTATTTTATTTTATTTTTCTTTTTAGGCGAATTGGGGTTAAGTGACTTGCCCAGCCTCACACAGCTAGTAAGTGTAAAGTGTTTGAACTCAGGTCCTCCTGACTTCAGGGCCAGTGCTCTATCTAGTGCACCATTTAGTTGCCCCAAATAATATCTTTACAGGTACATATTGAACTAGATGGAAAGATGGCTCTAAGATTTGTCCCAAGAAATTAAAAAAAAAAACTACTTGGATAGATATCTGTGTTAGTAATTTGAAATAAGAAAGAATATGATCCTTTCATACAATTTATGCATGTTCAACTCTGGAAAAATTTCAGAGATTTGAGTGAAGAACATTAAATAAGAGTGAAATATTTTTTTGTAAAAAACATGGAATTGAATTATTGTGTCCATGGAAGTATCATGACTTCATCATTAATAAATAAATACGTAATATTCTCAATTTACATTGACTGTTATTTTTCCTCTCTGAATGAAGGATCTTAGAAATAAGGTCTGATCCTAATTAAAAAACAACTGGATCAATATTGTCAGCATAAATAAATAATTTCAGGTGCTTGATATGTCTAATATTCTCTATATTAAAAAAACAAAAAAAACCCCAAAACACAACAAAATACTAACACCACTCAGCCCTTAAAGGTTATCTGTGATTATGGTCCTGGGAAATTTTACAAACTATTTTCACCTGTTGAGTTTTACACTATTTGTAATCTTTTTCAGAATACACATAAGTCTGTGCTCCAAGTGGGCATCCATTCAAATTAATATTTGCTAATTTGTTTCTTAAAGGAGTATAAATAGTTGCTGAAAAGAGGGCTAACTACTTCAGAGCAAAATGAAGTTCTTGCTGTTGCTTTCAGTCCTTGGGGTCTGTTGGGCACAGTATGATCCCCATACCAAATGCGGCAGAACATCGATTGTCCACTTATTTGAATGGTGCTGGGATGACATTGCTGTCGAATGTGAGCGTCACCTAGCTCCTAATGGCTATGGAGGTGTCCAGGTATATGCACTTCAACATTTGTTTGATATTCATGTTCTAGGCACAATAAATAATGTTAATTTATGCCTGTAACTATAAAGAAAAGAAGATAAAATGATGGGATTTGACTAGAGAATCTCTGGGTACCCTTCTAGTTGTAAGAACTAGGCAGTGCAGTGTGTAGATCTGGGACCTTTAGTCAGGAAGACCTGAGTTCAAATCCAGTTTCAGGCACAAGGTTTCTGACTATGGGCAAATTCTTTAGCCTCTTTCTGCCTCAGTTTCCTCATCTGTCAAAGGGGGATAATATTAGCAGCTTTGGTTATTGCCTATCTCCCAGAGTTGTTGTAAGAATAAAATGAGTTAATATTTGTGAAGTGGTTTGCAACTTTTTATGTGCTATATAAATTGCTAGCTATTATTATTAATTCCTATCTGAACAAGAAGTATAGTATAGAGGCAAAATCACTGGTTTTGTTTTTCAGTTGTGTCCAACACTTCATGACCCCATTTGGATTTTGTTGTTGTTGTTTTTTTATCAAAGATACTGGATTGGTTCGCCCTTTCCTTCTCCAGCTCATTTTGCAGAGGAAAAACTGAGGCAAACAAGGTTAAGGGACTTGCCCAGGGCAATAGAGCTAGTAAGTGTCTCAGGCCAGATTTGAGTTCAAGAGGATGAGTTTTCCTGACTTCAGGTCCAGTGCTCTATCCACTATACCCCCTAGCTTAACCTGAAAGCACTGGACCTGGGGTTAAACAATATGAGTTCATATCTGTCATTTACTATCTTTGCAACCTTGGCCAAGTCACTTAAAGATTTGTGTCTCAGCTTCCTCATGTGTAGGAGGTTGGACAGGATGACCTTTCTGTCCCCTTCTAGTTCTAAACGTGATTCTACAAGTGAATGTATGTGAAATGACCTTTAAGAACAGTTATGATGCTATGCAAATAAGGGTTTCTAGCAAAGTAGCTCATTGATCCCTTGTTTGAATTTTTAATGCTATATCACAACTCATTGTATTAATGGATTTTGAACATTTCTAAATGTAACACAAAATATGACCCACATGTTACTAACCCCTTACCCTTCCCAAAATGTAGGTCTCACCTCCAAATGAGAATGCATTGATCAATAACTCTTCAAGACCTTGGTGGGAAAGATACCAGCCAGTTAGTTACAAGATATGCTCCTGGTCTGGAAATGAAGATAAATTCAGACAGAGGGTCAAGAGATGCAATGACGTTGGAGTAAGTAGATAAGTTATTCAAGTCAATGGTTCTTATTCTAGGTTCCACAAATCCCCAAGAGGTCTGTGTATAAATTTCAGGGGGATCCATGGACTTAGATGTCATATAATTGTAACCTTATTTTCACTAAACTCTAAGTGAAATTTAAAATTTCCTTTGATTATTGAAAAATGTCATTCAGAGAAAGGGTCTATTGGTGTCACCATATTGTCTACGGGATTAATGACCAAGAAGGATTGAGAACCTCTGTTCAGGAGATTACATCATTAACTTTCCTTGCCTCACACATGCTGCTTCCATCTAAATTGTGATTACTGTGATCTCATGGTATTGGAGAATTCTTCCAATAGAACATATTTGACCCCCATCTATGCCTCCCTATCCCATACAACTCTTCTTTCTGTCCTGTAACTCTTCCAACCACTTAAAAACACATACATATACACATTCACATACATGTGAGTACCCTCCAGTTCAAAGTTAGTAGCTATCTAAAAGTCATCTTTTGTAAATCATCTTTTTGAATTCATTTATGTACCTGAGAGAATATAAGTCAAAAAAAGCCGATGGTAGCAGAGTTGACCTGGGCTTTTCTGAGTAAAATCCAGTTAAACTAGGAGAAAATGCACAATTTCAAAGGCTACCCCTGTTTCCAACAAAACCACATGTTGCTCATCAGTCCTTGACGTTTAATTCACTATTCTCACAATGCATGCAATACACCAATAAATGCGTTATGCTTTTGTGTACAAATGCTGTATTATTCACCAGAATTCATAATCTAACCTCTGGTGACCAGCTTGTATTTCTTGTACAGGTGAGACAGCAAAGGGGTCCTGCCTTAAATACATGTGTCTGCTTTGAAACCTTTTGTTCTCTCAATCAACATGTTGACAGGCAGCCTAATGGATTGTTACAGTGTTTTAAAGGTGCTTGTTAGAGTGGGGCTCTCTCGTGGGCAGCCAACACACTACAGTAGACGTGTCCATAGCACACGTAATCAATTTGGTTGGTTTAGCCAAACTGATTTAATGAACTAATTGGTTTACTTCAATTGACTAGTGAGTTCAGTAAAAATAGATGGTATATTCTTATGAAAGATGAACAAAATATGTTTAATCTGTTCTCTTGGGAAATAGTTATGTGTAAAAGGTAGTGTATTTGAGAAAAGGAGAATATTAGCTCCTTGAAGTTAGGATTGTTTGGTTTTGTCTTTGCATTTTCAATGCTTGGCCTTAAAGGGTGCCTTCCAGGGAGTGGTATTTGTTATATTATAAAAGGAAGGAAGAAGAATATATTAAGTTAGGCTCATTGCCTGATTTAGTGTTCAAGGCTCTAGCTTCTAAAATACATCAGGGGTCTTGTCAAGACTTTATTAGTATCTGCCACTCCTTGATAGGTGGTGGCTCCGAGAGCTGAACCTGCAGTCAGGAAGACCTGAGTTAAAATCTATCCTCAGACAATTACTAGCTGTGTGACCCTGAGCAAGTCACTTACCCACTGCCTGCCTCAGTTTCCTCATCTTCAAAATAGAAGTAATAATAGCATCTACTTCCTAGGTTTGTTGTGAAGATCAAATAAGATAATCATTGTTAAGTGCTTAGCACAGTGCCTGGAACATGAGAAGTGCTATACAATTATGAGCTTGTTATAATTATTATCATCCTACTAGTTTTATGTAGTGGTATATCTCCTGTTTGCTCTATTTGTCTGGTGTTCAAATGTGGATTTTTATATGAGAGACAATATGGTATGATGAGAAGAATGTTCTTAAGCCCTGACTATGCTTTCCTCTAGCCAGATGACCCTGGGAAGATCACTCATCCTCTCTAGGGTTTACTTTTCTTGTCTGTAAAATAAGAATAGTACTGTTTGCCCTGGCAGCTACATGGGAGGTTTGAAAGGATCAAAAGACATAGTACATGTGAATGGGCTTTGTAAACTATAATGCCTAATACAGATGTAAGTTGTTATTCTTGTGGGTGAGTCAGAATGGGGGAAAACAGTGACTTTTTTCCCCTTCAGTGAGTCCTCCCTTCTCTTGTTATAATGAAATAAAGTATAAAATAGCAAATAAAAACATCTGACCCACTGGCCTTCTGTGATAGCACATGCCATATACTCTACCTGTAGGAGCCCACTTAGGCTAATATTGGTCATTACAATTAATGAGTATCTAGCTTTGCTTCAGTCTTCTTTTTGTTGTATCATTATAATCATCCTGTATATCCTCCTCTTTTTTTCTGTTTACTTCACTCTGGAATAGTTCTCCCTATTTATATGCAACTAATGACCAGTGATTTTCAGGTCCAGCCTGATTTTTTTAAGGTCCAGAGAACAAAGACAAAGACAAAAACAAAGTTTCTTGGCTTAATTATAAAATACCAGGAAGATAAATTTATAAACTAATTGAAAGAGGCAGTGTCTAACAGCATTAACATTCATTAAATCTTCATTAAATCTTGGGGAGAAGTAGCACCCTGAGCTAGACGGAGTGCAGAAGGTGGAGTCAGAAGCTGAGTTCAAGTCCTTTCAGTGATGGCCCATCTGCTGAGCTCAAACACCTTGCTTTTGCAGGTCAACATCTATGTGGATGCTGTAGTGAACCATATGTGTGGGAGTGGTTTGAGTGCTGGAACAAGTAGCACCTGTGGAAGTTACTACAATCCTGGAACAAGAGACTTTCCTGCTGTTCCAAACTCTGGCTGGGATTTTAATAATGGTAAATGTAAAACCGGCAGTGGGGAAATTGAAAGCTACTATGATATTTATCAGGTAAATTTTAGTGGTAATTAAATAACCCTGTATGGTTTGTCTGAATTCAAATTTTCTCCCCATCCTGGCTTCCCTAGCTGCCTTACACATGTTCTTACCCTCTTCTGCCTAGATGGATTGTGTACATGAATACCAATGTCCTCCTCTCATAGACTATTGCAACAATCTCTTAATTGGTCCCCTGCTTCCAGTCTCTCCACTATTTAATACATATTCCATACAGCTGCCAAATTGATATGTCTAAATCACAGGTCTGACCATGTCACTCACTTGCTTAAGAAGCCTTAATGGCTCCCTATTGCCTCTGGGATCAAATACAACTCTTTCTTTTGGCATTTAAAGCCCTCTGCAGTTTGGCTCCAGCCTATCATTCCAAACTATTTCATATTCTTTGCCCTCATTCACTCTATGTTCCATTCATAATAACCTGCTTGCTGCACCTTGTACATGCCATTTTCTTTTCAAACACTTGCCTTTGGCTGGAATGCTGTCCCTCTTAATTCCATGTGTTGGGGTTTCTAGTTGCCTTCCAGATTTACCCCAAGGACCATCTTTTATATAACATCTGTCCTGTTCCCTCCAGTTTTCAGTGATTTCACACCCACTGCCCTGCCCCAGTGATACATGTACATGTTTTTTTCACCCCAGTAGTATGTAAGCTCCTTAAGGATTGTTTTGTCTGTGTGTCTTTAATTGGTAGCATAATGCTTCACAGGCAGAAAATCCTTAAGCAATAGTAATTGAGGGCAGCTAGTGACTCAGTAGATATGGTAACAGCCTTGGAGTCAAAAAAATCTGAGTTCAAATCCAGCCTCAGACACTTACTAGCGTTGTGACCCTGAACAAGTCACTTAACCTTAAATACCTGAGAGAGAGAGAGAGAGAGAGAAATGTTTATTGAGTTGAATTTCTTAAGTATAGGAAACTTTCTAGAAGAATTACAGCTTTCTATCCTTTGGCAAGATTCCCTGAAGACATGGAAGATATATGATTTGCTTAGGATCAGGATTTGAACTTAACTCTTCCTAACACCAAACTCACAACTCTATCCGTAGTACCAAACTATCTCTAGACAAACATGAAATTATAAGATCATAAGATCTAGAGGTGGGGGGAGCCACTTAGACCGTATAATCTAACCATTTCATTTTACAAATAAGGAAACTAAGGGCCAGGGAGGATAAGGGACTCGCCCAACATCGTACCATCAAGATTTGAAACCAGGGTCTTCTGATTCTGGAGTCAGTGCTCTCTTCTTTATATCACACTAAAGGGAAACTAATTTTAAGATTACCCTAGCCAAAAATGCTTAAGTGCATTGTGCCTGAGGTGTTTAAAAGGAACACTTCAAAATTGGGAGCCCAAAGATGCTGTTGCCTATGAATCACATATATCATTATTATTTTTACAGGTTAGAGATTGCCATTTGACTGGGCTTCTTGATCTTGCTCTGGAGAAAGTTTATGTGCGTTCCACAATTGCCACTTATTTGAACCACCTGATTGACCTTGGTGTGGCAGGATTCAGAACTGATGCTTCCAAACATAGATAGCCTGGAGACATAAAGGCATTTCTGGATTAACTGAACAATTTAAACACAAACTGGTTCCCTTCAGGAGGTACTAAGATAAAATGTGTATAAGTGCTGGGGACAGAGGTTGAATGACAGGATATGGATGCAATGATTTGATTTATTGTGAAAAATTATGATTTTGCTTAAATGTGTGTTTTCTATAGGCTGGCCCAATTTTTTGTTAAATCTTGGTTATGCAGTCCTGGATTGGGTTAGCATTTTCACAGGGTAAAAATAAAAATTGTCTAGATAATTTCAGGCTTTTTAATAGCATCCATCCAGAGTGGAAAAATTCAAGTCATTTCTGAAAATGAGAATATTAATTTAAATATTTTAATAGCATATAGTACTAGAATTATTGGCATAAATGCTAATATGATGACTACAGTATTTTTAGAGTTTCTATGCATCATCATATTCTTTTCCTGATTTCTACTAGGTAAGTGATCTAGGTGGTGAGCCAATTACAAGCAGTGAACACTTTGACAATGGTCGGGTTACGGAATTCAAATATGGTGCAAAACTAGGCACGGTTGTATGCAAGTGGGATAGAGAAAAGATGGCTTATTTAAAGTAAATGAAAAAGGGGGTTAACTTTGGACTGCTGTACAATGAGTATGCAACAATTTTTAGGCATTTATTTATATGTTTCCATATAAATAGTTCTACATTGATATCAATTAAGCATTTTTATTACATATAGATGTCAATTTGAAAACATGTAGTTTCTGAACCCTAAAAATCACTAGGTTTTAATTCAGTCATGTTGGGATGGAACTATATTTGGCTGAGGCTTATATTTACAGTATACTAAAACCACAGGAATATTACCAGGTAAATATCACTGGAATATAAAAATCATGTGTTGGACCCTGACTATGACACCTCTTGCTTTAATATAGATTCTACAACATACTTTTCCTATACAGGGTCTCTCAGAGGGTATATAAATACTATCTAAGTATCTAAAATATATAGGGATCAATAAAGTTTCAACTTAACTCTGGATTTAGGGAGCCAAATTCATTTTACTGTTATGGAAATTAATACTCAGAATGGTGAGGTGACTCATTCAATTTTAAATTGTTAACAAGTGATTAATTCAGGATTGGATCCCAGTTCTTCTGGCTCTCAGTCCAGTTCTCTTTCCAGTATACAATGGGCATTCTGGATAAAGGTTTTCTGTTTATTTATGTTAAGGAGTATCCTAGAGGGAGAGAAGACAAGGAAGGGCCTATGAGCCATAAATAAACACTCCTTGTTTCTTTGTGCAGGAACTGGGGAGAAGTTTGGTCCTTAATCCATTCAGACAGGGTACTTGTCTTTGTGGATAATCATGACAACCAGAGGGGCCATGGAGCTGGAGGAGCTTCCATTCTCACCTTCTGGGTTGCCAGGTAAGTGGTAGAGTCCTCTACCTTTTTAAATTTTTAATCTTACCAATGGTCTCTAAAATTTTCTTCGATAACCATACTTTATTACTTCCAGATTATACAAAATGGCATTTGGATTTATGCTTGCTCATCCTTGTGGATTTACACTAGTGATGTCAAGCTACAGGTGGCCAAGAAACTTGCAGAATGGAGAGATATTTTTAATTTCAACATTTAGAAAGTACTACTATATAAAGAGTTCTGAGGCATTGGAGAAAGATATACTCAGTCAATAATCAATTGATACATAAGCACTGTTTGTTTACTATATGCCTACTGTGCTAGGGTTGAGGGACATGAAACAGTATCAAAAACTAAATAAGGCATAGATCTTCCCATTGTCAAGCTCACAATCAATTGGGAAGATACAGTGAAAATACAGATAAAATGAAATTATACTCAGTAAGTATAAGAGAAATGTTGGAGGCCAGCACCTGGTAGTGGGCCCCTAACCCCGTGAGAACACCACACCCCAAGCAGCTTGTTCCGGGGCAAACCGTACCATAACGTACCAGGTCAACAGATGTGCTAACCGCAAGATGCTGGCACACTGCCCTGGAAAGTCCTGAAGGCCTATCTTCCTCTTTTGCCACGTCAACAGAAGTTTTGCTCCTCCCCGCTTCACCCTACATAAGCTTGTAATGCTAAAAAATAAAATTAGACCTTGCCTACCATCCTTTTGGTCTCACTCCTCCTTTTCACCCATTCCTTTCAGCCAGGGTCCTCCTCGACCCCCCACGTATACTGGCCCTGCAGGTCGGGGCAGAGAAAGAGAGCTAAATCGAATTCTTTGTGAGATCTGCGTCAGAAGAAAGTTTGTAACTTACTGGATGAACCGGGAAGGCTTCATGATGGGGTGACATTTAAACTTAGCTTCAAAGTTGGGTGGAGACAGGATTGGATTCTAGGTACAGTGACTACCATTGAATTTTGCACCTAAGATGTAAAGTATTGAAAGTATTCAGGGGGTGGCAAAGAGTGAAATTTGACTAAAGCATAGAATATGTGGTAGAAACTATAGGAGATAAGATTGGAAAGACATAATGGTCTTGGATTATCACGGTTCTGAATAACAGGCTGAGAAGTTTAAATTTTGTTCAATGAGCAATTGGGAGTTACTGGAGTTTTGGGCAGAAGATGATACAGTCTGTGAATAGGATCATAGATTTAGGTCCAGAAGAGACGATGGGCCAGCATATTGTATCTTACTGTCCCATTTACCTTTTTATATTTCTCTTGAATCTTGTACTTAAAGATCAAATTTTTTGTTGAGCTCAGGTCTTTTTATTAAGAAGGTTTGGAAGTCCCCTATTTCGTTGAATATCCATCTCCTCCCTTGAAAGATAATGCTAATTTTTGCTGGGTTGTTGATCCTTGGCTGCAATCCAAGCTCCTTTGCTTTATGGAATATCAAGTTCCTTGCCCTGCGGTCTTTTAATGTAGAAGCTGCAAGGTCCTGTGTAATCCTGACTGTGGTTCTGTGATATTTAAATTGTTTCTTTCTGGCTGTTTGCAACACCTTCTCTTTCATCTGGTACTTCTGGAATTTTGCTATTGTATTCCTTAGCATTTTTAATTTGGGATCTCTTTCAGGCGGTGAACGGTGGATTGTTTCTATGGTTATTTTCCCTTCTGATTCTAGGACTTCAGGGCCATTTTCCTTTATGATTTCCTGAAAGATACTGTCCAGGCTCTTTTTTTCATCACGATTTTCAGGTAGTCCAATAATTTTTAAGTGATCTCTTCTGGATCGATTTTCCAGGTCAATTGCTTTACCCATGAGGTGTTTTATGTTTTCATCTATTTTTCCATTTTTTGTTTCTGTTTGACTGATTCTTGCTGTCTCATAGAGTCATTAGTTTCCATTTGTCCAGTTCTAGTTTTTAACAGATTGTTTTCTTCTGTTAGCTTTTTTACTTCCTTCTCCAATTGGCCGATTGTATTTTTAAGGGATTTGTTTTCTTCAGTGTACTTTTTTTCCAGTTGCCCAATTGTATTTTTTAAGGACTCTTCTACCAATCTCATTTGACTTTTAAAATCCTTCTCCAGCTCTTCTAAGAAGGCTTTTTGGTCTTCAGAACAGTTCATATTCCCTTTTGATGTTACAGATATGGGTTTGTTGACAATGTTGTCCTCTTCAGAATTTCTGTCTTGATCTTCACTCTTCTCAAAATATGAATCTACAGTATGTTTCTTTTTACTCATGGTGTTTCTTTATTCCCTGGCCTTTAAAGAGATTGAGCTCTCCTGCTGGGGAGCGGAGTGCACTGACTCAAGTTTCTTGTTTTGGGAGCCTAGGTGTTGGTCACTGGCTTTGTGGGCTGGGGCCTCTTATGTTGGCGATTGGAGGCTGTAAGGTTCTGGCAGCTTACCTGGTGTTGGGCTGGAATCAGCAAGGCTGGAACTTTCAGGCAATTCTAGGTTGCCTGTTTTTCCTTTCCTTTAGCTTTCTTCAGCTCCTTATAGATGGGTGGTGCAGGGTGTTTATCTCCCTAGGGGCCCTTTGCAGTGCTGCCTCCCTTATTTCTGCTAAGGCATGGGAGACTCCTGTGTGGTAGAGTACTGAGGCACCTGGTGGTTTTCTGAGCTGGTTTCCCCTGGTTCCCCCGTCCTCACTGAGGCACTTGGAGGTCCACGTATTGGTGTTTGCCTGCTGTACCACTTGGGCTTCTCCTGGTTGGCAATTGGTGGCTCTAGGGTTCTGACAGCTTACCTGGTGTTGGGCTGGAGTTAGTAAGGCTGGGACTTTAGGAATACTCCAGGTTGCTTTCTTCAGCTCCTTTCAGATGAATGCTGCAGGGTGCTTATCTGCCTGGGGCCCTTCGTAGTGCTGCTTCCCTTATTTTTTTTTTCTGGGTTGTGAAGCTTTATAAATCTTTTCCCTTAGCTGAATATTGAAAAATACTACAAACCAGTCCATTTAGCTTTTCACATAATAGCATTTTGTTTCAACAAATCAGTTCCTAGCATCAATGCTTCTCTTCTAATCATTATATTTTTATTTTTTCTTCTTTTTTTCCTTTTTTAAAATTTTATTAATTTATTTTGTTTTATCAACAATCACTTCATATGTTTTTTGAGTTTAAAATTTTTCTCCCCCTTCCTCCCCCCTACCCTCCTAAAGATGGCACACAGTATGATATAGGCTATACATTTACATTTCCATTAAACATATTTTCACATTAGTAAAGTTGCAAGTAAAAATTAAAACCAGTAGGAGGAACCATCAGAAAGAGGAAAGAAAATTCAACAGAAGGGAAAAAAAAATGATAGTAATTCAACTTCCATAGTTCTTTCTTTGGATGTAGACAGCATTTTCTATCATGAGGCCTCTGGAGATGTCGTAGATCCTTGTCATGCTGAGAAGGGTTAAGTTTAACAATATTAGTCATCACACAACATGGCTATTATTGTCTACAAAGTCCTCTTAGTTCTGCTCACTTCACTCAGCATAGGACCATATAAGTCTTTCCAGGTTTTTCTGAAGTCAGCCTGTTCATCATTTCTTATAGCATAATAGTATTCTATTACATTCCTATACCACAACTTGCTCAGCCATTCCCCAATTGATGGGCATCCTCTCAATTTCCAATTCTTTGCCACCACAAAAAGAGCTGCTATGAATATTTTTGTACATGTGGGTCCTTTTCCCATTTGTTTGATCTCTTTGGGATATAGCCCTAGAAGTGCTATTGCTGGATCAAAGGGTATGCACATTTTTATAGCCCTTTGGGCATAGTTCCAAATTGTTCTCCAAAATGGTTGGATCATTTCACAACTCCACCAACAATGCATTAGTGTTCCAATTTTCCCACATCTTCTCCAACATTTATCATTTTCCTGTTTTGTCATGTTGGCCAATCTGATAGGTGTGATTTGGTACCTCAGAGTCATTTTGAATTGCATTTCTCTTATCAATAATGATTTAGAACATTTTTTCATGTGACTATAGATGGCTCTACTTTCTTCATCTGAGAACTGTCTGTTCATATCCTTTGACCATTTATCAATTGGGGAATGGCTTGTTTCTTATAAATTTGTCTTAATTCTCTATATATTTTAGAAATGAGGCCTTTATCAGAGAGACTGGTTGTAAAAATTCTTTCCCAATTTTCTACCTTCCTTCTAATCTTAGTTGCATTGGCTTTGTTTGTGCAAAAACTTTTCAATTTAATGTAATCAAAATGATCCATTTTGCTTTTCATAATGTTCTCTATCTCCTGTTTGGTCATGAATTCTTCTGTTCTCCATAGATCTGATAGGTAAACTATTCCTTGTTCTCCCAGTTTACTTATGTATCAGCCTTTATATCTAAGTCATGAACCCATTTTGACTTTATTTTGGTATATGGTGTGAGATTTGGGTCTATGCCTAGTTTCTGCCATACTCTTTTCCAGTTTTCCCAGCAGTTTTTTTCAAAGAGTGGGTTCTTATCCAGAAGCTGGGGTCTTTGGGTTTATCAAATAATAGATTACTATAGTCATTGACTACTGTGTCTTGCATATTTAACCTATTCCACTGATCCACCTCCCTATTTCTTAGCCAGTACCAAGCAGTTTTGATGATTGCTGCTTTATAATACAATTTAAGATCTGGAATTGCTAGGCCACCTTCCCCTGCATTTCTTTTCATTAGTTCCTTTGATATTCTGGACCTTTTGTTTTTCCAAATGAATCTTATTATTTTTTCTAACTCTATAAAATAATTTTTTGGTAGTTTGATATGGCACTGAATAAGTAAATTAGCTTAGGTAGGATTGTCATTTTTATTATATTAGCTCAGCCTACCCATGAGCAACTGATGTTTTTCCAATTATTTAGATCTGATTTTATTTGTGTGAAAAGTGTTTTGTAATTGTGTTCATAGAGTTCCTGGGTTTGTTTTGGGAGGTAGACTCCTAAATATTTTATAATGTCTACAGTAAGTTTAAATGGGATTTCTCTTTCTATCTCTTGCTGTTGGGCTTTGTTGGTAATATATAAAAAGCTGATGATTTATGTGGGTTTATTTTATAGCCTGCAACTTTGCTAAAGTTGTTTATTATTTCAAGTAGTTTTTTACTTGATTCTCTAGGATTCTCTAAGTATATCATCATGTCATCTGCAAAGAGTGATAGCTTTGTTTCTTCTTTGCCTATTCTAATGCCTTCAATTTCTTTTTCTTCTCTTTTGCTAAAGCTAAGTTTCCAGTACAATATTGAATAACAGTGGTGATAATGGACATCCTTGTTTCACCCCATCTTATTGGAAATGCTTCTAGCCTGTCCCCATTACATATAATGCTTGCTGAAGGTTTTAGATATGCTATTTATTATTTTAAGGAAGACTCCATTTATACCTATGCTTTCTAGTGTTTTTTAATAGGAATGGTGTTGTATTTTTCAAAAGCTTTTTCTTCATCTACTGAGATGATCATGTGGTTTCTGTTGGTTTTGGTGTTGATATGCTCAATGATGCTGATAGTTTTCCTAATATTGAACCAACCCTGCATTCCTGGTATAAATCCTACCTGGTCATAGTGTATTATTCTTGTGATAAGTTGCTGCAGTCTATTTGCTAGTATTTTGTTTAAAATTTTTGTGGCTATATTCATTAGAGAAATTGGTCTATAATTTTCTTTCTCTATTTTGACTCTTCCTGGTTTAGGTATCAACACCATATTTGTATCATAAAAAGAATTTGGTAAGACTCCTTCTTCACCTATTTTCCCAAATAGTCTATATAGTATTGGAATTAATTGTTCTTTAAATGTTTGATAGAATTGCATGTAAATCCATCTGGCCTGGAAATTTTTTCCTAGGGAGTTCATCAGTGGCTTGTTCAATTTCTTTTTCTGAGATGGGGTTATTTAAGTATTTTAC